TGCAGATTAACCATTCATTTCACCAAAGGTTTATCATGGAGCCTCTCTATGAGAAACTGGGTCAGGGGCTTTGGAGCATGCAGTGATAAGCAGAACATCAGAACCTTTGTCTGGTGGGAGAGAGAGATGTGGACTTGTGTTTCTGCTCTGATTTCTACGAGTCAGAGCAAAATGTGTATTTATACACCAAAAACAAGTGCTTGGGGACACATGGGTCGGGGTTTAGCCCCAGACCTTGCTGGCTTTCTTCTGTAGCATGGCTTGTGTATAGCCTTGTGCTTGTGAAGGGTATGATTAGAAAACAGAGGAGAAGCAGAGTGGACTGAAGATGTAGCAAGGTTAGGCCCAGTCCCTGTCATGTGAAGCAACATGAGCCATGGCAGGAACTCACAGAAACAAGTGCTGTAGGCGCCCTGATCTCAGGTATGAGACCAGAGTATCTGGTCTGTACTGGGAGGGACTGTAGAGAGGCACAGTGCCATTTTACTTGAATTTTTTTCTGTGGCCACCAGGAGTTGTAACAGATTTCTTAGAATAAAGAGTGTTATATTGACAGCAGTTAGAAGCATTTAAACTCTGTAAACATAATGTGCCATTAGTTCTTGTAATTAATATTCATAATTACTTTCTTCTTTTAAAAGTTAGTGCTGTTAGTATTACAGATTATAGATGAAGAAACAGAAAGCACAGAGAGATTAAGTAACTTCACTCAGAATTCACAGCAAGTTCAGAGGACCTGGGGTCAAATCCAGAAAGTCTTACTAACTCTGTTTTTTAGCCTGGGATTGAAAGATAAAATTGTCAAGAGTTTCTGAATGTTCTGTACTGCTTGCAGAGTGTAGAGTGTATGTCTATGTGTACATTTGTCTAAGATAAGGCCTAAGCCTCAGTCATATGCTTCCTTGTGTGCACCATTTCCCATCTAGGTACTTTTGATGTTGTAATGCTCCAGAAGGAAAGGAAACATCAGAACAGTGTTCAGGAACTCTTAGACCTGTTCCTGCATGGTGAGGAACAGAGGTCTATATAGGGAGTACTTCCCAAGGTAGACCAGATGGCAAAGGAAAGGATACATCAGAACAGTGTTCAGGAACTCTTAGACCTGTTCCCGCATGGTGAGGAATAGAGGTCTATATAGGTAGTACTTCTCAAGGTAGACCAGATGACAAGTCCTTGCAATGTGAGGTCATTGAAAGGTAGGGAATTAGCCTCGAGTGGGCAAAACTCTTCTGACCTCAGTAAAGCTAAGCAGGTCGAGATCTTGCTTTAGAAGAACTCTGGAATGCCATTCTGCTCTCAGCTAGACCAGTTTGTGAGCTCCAATTAGGAACTGTATACTCTTAACCGTGCACGAGACTGACTGGAAGTTCCTTGGAGCCAAGGAATCCAAGACAGGTCCCAGGATGAATAAGGGAGTCTAAAGAACTGTCTCATTTATATAACCTTAGCAGTTAATACCTTGTTCCAGTGCTTTAAATGTTAGTTATTTTAAGTGGATATATGACTAAGATACCATGCCATGAAAATGTTACGTGTGGCGTAGAGAACTTGACTCCTTACTTTCTAGAGTTTATTTTTCTTAGTGGTTTCCCGGTCTTTGCTTTCTTATTTTCTTATTTGAAAAGAATCAAAGGTGTTCTCTTATATAGCCTTAATATTATTATACAGTAAATATTCAACCATATCATCACTTGGCAACAACTGTGATGGTTGTTCTTGGTTGTCAGCTTGACTACATCTGGAATTAACTAAAACCCATACAACCTAGTACACCTGAGAGGGATTTTTTTCTTAAATCATTTGAAGTGGGAAGACCCACTTTTAATCTGAATCTTTTGAGGTAGAAAGATACACCTTTACTTCAGATCCTCTGAAGTGGGACACGGAAGAGGGAAGTTTGATCGTTGCCTGTTTGTTCTTGCTGGCAAGTCCATTTTGTTACTTAAATCAGGACCTCCTTCTTTAGGATTCTGATGTATACTGAAGACCAGCTGAGATATTCAACTTTGTGGACTCAACAACTACTGGATTCTTGGATCTTCCGTTGGTAGGCAGCCATTGTTGGACTAGCTAGACCACAGCCAGTAAGCCACTCTAATGACTATGTACATGTTATATATTATATAAAATAATAAATGTTCACTCTATAAGTTCTGTTCCTCTAGAGAACCATGACTAACACAGCTACTTAATCATATTATATACTGTCCATCTGTTTTTTCCAGATGTTATGAAAAATCCTTTACCTAAGTTTTGTTTAACTTTGTGGATTTGGTCAAGGATTCATTTGGAGATCATGAGTAGCAGCAGATGGCCTTCACGTCTTTCTCTGTTGTCTCCATTATGACCTGCCATGTCTCTCTGCCTTTTTCAATTAAAAAAAAAAATTTGTGTTTTGTAATCTTAACATGTTTAGTGCCAGAGAGTTGTCTAGTGGAATGTTCTGGAATCTAAGATTTATCTGACTGTTTGCAGTTCTTGTGGTGAGATTCGGGTTGAACATTGCTGGCCAGACTACACTGCTTCTCTTGAAGGTGTTTGGTGTTGGCTAGGCTGTTTTCTATTTGTGTGACTATTGGACCACCTGCAAATACTGTTTCTGAACAGTCCTTTACACAGTGAATTCAATGTCTACGCCTGGTCCTTAAGTGGATGAAATTGCTATGTTGGAATATTGTACAAATATTCTGATGCCACTTTACTGATAAATAGTGTTTCTCACCTGTTCCCTGTTTGGAAAAACTTAAGACCCCAAAGTCTGAGCACATGGTGGCATCTGACATGCCGTCTGTACTATGAGAGCGGGCTTTCAGGGAAGTTTTATACGGGTCAGGGAAGAGGGGAGGGACTGCTCTTTGTATTTTAGAGGATTTTAAAAAAAAAAACCTTAAAATGATAGATGTTGAGGTAGACAAGGAGTATGCAAGTCATTTACCATTCTTATTCCCTTCTGATAATTAGATTAGTGTTCTTTCAAAAGCCACAAACTGGAGAGATGCCCTCAGTGCCTTGGAAGTAGGTTTTTGTTTGTTTGTTTGTTTTGTTTTGTTTTGTTTGTTTTTTGCCAAGCATACTGTACTGAAATAAAATGGTATTAAATCCATGATGTTTGTTTGAAATGTGGGATAAGACGGAAATTGTTTAGCAAGAGAACTTCTTGATCTAGACTAATAATCTTTCAGGGAATTTATCCAAGGGCTTTTGCACCCACTCTGCTGAAGACTGGCTCATTCAACAGTGTTATCTGATGGGAATTTTGTTTCTTCTGAAAGCTGACCATTGTTCTGTTTGCTGGGGACTTACGGGGTAGCAGGAAAAGACTCCTGGCAGGCAGTGCAACATAAAACCCACCTGTCATCCTGGAATTAGATACCGTGTGTGCTGTGTAAATTTCTCACTTGCAGTTCACTTTTGAACCAGTTGATTATTTCTCCTAACTACACCCTTCTTTAATAGTGAAGTTAGAGCCTTAGCATTCTCTAGGAATTCATTTAGCATTGGCTTCGTTTTTATTTATCTGTCTTTTGAGGGAATTTAAAACAAGCCAAGACTTCTATGTAGTCTTGGCTCTCCTGAAACTTGATATGTAAACCAGGCTGGTCTCAAACTCAAAGATCTTCCTGCTTCTGTCTCCCAAGTTCTGGGACTAAAAGTATCTACTAGCATGCCTGGAAGATGTTCTTGTGTCTAAATAGACTTGAACTCATGTCTGGCTTGAGCTGTGAATTTGTCTTGTATCCTTAAAGTCTTAAAACCAAGATCTTGCCCTTGTTTACTGATAAATCACCCCAAACCCCTTAGTGGGGTTCTTTTCATGGTTGGTCTATAATATCATCACATTAGCATTTGCAGAGAGCTGAATAACTTCTAAATTTGATAAATTATTATGCTATATCCTATACTTACAGTATTACGAATTCTAGAATATGAATGCATGTTATACCCACCCAGCTAGTTCAAGCAACTGAGCCTTCCCTTCAAGGATGAGATACACTTTAAAGAATGATTTTAATTTTTCAGACATAAGGTAATAGATCCCAGCATTTATTGATTATATTATGAGATTCACATGTTCCTGACAATTATAGTAATTCTACGGGACACTTGAAAGTTCAGCAAAATTCCGTCCCCCCAACCCCATGGCCACTCTAGCTCCCACCCATCCCTTTTGATACTCAAAGTGGCCATCTCCACCCTTCCCCCTCCCCCCCTCCATATGAGGCTTAGAGGACCTGCTTTGGTTGGATAACATATTGGACCCTAGAATGAATGATCAGTGCTTGAATACTTCCTATTGCCGCATAAGTCCAGAGGTTAAAAGGAGTAAAGAGAAACCAGAAATCTTACTAAAGAAGTGGGCTTTTTCTTCACTGTAGACGAGGTGTAGACTTGGGGAGATGGGAGCCCCTGCTTAACAATCCCCACAGCTTTTGTCTCTCAGTAAACACAGATCTCTGCTATGTGTGTCTTCTCCAAGCAAATGACTTTGACTCAGGCTGAAAAGTTGCTTGTTGAATTCAGAAGGCTGAACTAACTCTTGGAAAACTTAGGTCGTATGCTGCTTCCTGAGTGAATAGCATCTCCTTTCCCTCCTTCTTTTTGCCTCATTTTGCTCCATTTTGTTGATGTGTGTTTTACTCTTTCATCTTGCAAACCCTCATTTCCAGAAGGCAGTATATATCCCACTAGCCTCCCACTGTGGCGGTATGGCTTAGGTTGTGTATAGCAGGATATTTTCCCACTATATTTGTAATAAAGCTTGGAAATTGGGCTGTATGAGAGGTAGGTGGAGTGGGAGGAGTAAGGAAAGGGAGAGGAGAAGGAAGAGGAGGAGCTAGGAAAAAGGAAGAGGAGAGAGAGGGGAAAATGGCGGTGGATGTATGTGAGTTTCCAGCAGTCTAAGATAATTGTATTATCTAGATTAGGTATCAGGTAATACCTCTAATTGTGTGAGCTTCTTGTTATTTGAGCATTAAAGCTACTGGATAATCTTTAAAACATTACAGTCTCATTTCTACCGGGGACTGCGTGGATGGTGGGAGGGTCTGGGGTTGGATTCTGTTACTTCTAAAAGAATGTATCTTCCTCACTGCTTTTTGCTGCCAGCCGACGGTATCCTGGCTAGGGTGCTCTCTCCTCCATCTTCTGGAGAAGATTTGTGTCCTCAGCCAGTGGAAGACCCACCGAAAATTCATACAGGATGTGCCATGCAAGTGGGAAGCACCCTCCGGCTGAGGGGATGGCAAGGAGGAGGTTTCTAAGGAGCTCCCAGCTGCCTCCCTTATCTCCTGCTGAGAAAACAGGATGAGTTAGAGTACTAGTGTCAACAGCAGTGGGCTTGATATCTACTACTTTATAGAACCCAAGCTCATTTGCCAAAATAGCCCAAATAAAGCGAAGTTTCCAGATGCATTGACTAGAACACACACATCTATTTTTGTGTAGTTGTTGGTCCTACTTGCTGTGCCTACCCTCTTCCCTCCTTCCCTGCTCTGTAGTATCTTTCCTGCAGTGCCACCCTCTCTCCTCTCCTGGCTGTTATCTCCCCCCACCCCCCAGAGTCTCCTGGGGTCCACCTTGCCTCACAGCAGGTAGTGAGTGAGGCTCCACTGTCCAACCTTGTCTTCCCCAGTCCTGCCCCTTGCTCTCCTGGGAGGCATCTCTGTGCTCACCGCAACTTCATCTTTCAGTAACCTTGGAGGATTTTCTAGGACCTGACAGATATCTTCATCTTCCCGGGCTTTGTGCTTGAACAAGTCTTGACGAACATCATGTTCCTTATGACTGACCTGAGCAGTAGGTGGAGGGGGACTGCTGTTGAGGTGGACATCTTCCTTCTGAGTAGATTCAGGGAACACACAGCCATCGTGCTGGTCACCTTTTTCTTTTCCTAAAAACGTCTCAAGTTTCTGTATTAGGTTATCCAGTTTGCAGGGAGTCAGTTTTGTCTTTTCTTGTGGCCACTTACCCATCCACTGGCTGTGGCCATTCAGATCCACATTAGCAAGAGAGTCTGCTTGGTCAGAGTCCACATCGATATCCCAGGCCAGTGTGATGCTTAGCTTGCAGAACTGGTCTGGATCATGCTTCATCTGATCTCGTTTCCTGAAGAGTCTCCTTAAACTCTCTGTCCCCCAGGTACCTTGGACAGGAGGGAGGAAACGGGCCGAAGAGTCCTCAGAGGGGGTCTCCTCATGGGAGACCTCGTCCTCATAGGAAAAGCTGTAGTACTCAGAGGGGAAGTGACCCACGGAGAGGCTCTGGTTGGATTTGTTTTCAGAATATGAGCCGCTGTAGTCACTGCTGGAGGGTGAGGTTGTCATGGTGCTGAGAGTCTCCAATCTCAAGTTTTCCTTGATTCTGGAAACTTCAGAAGAAAAAAATTAGTAAATGCTATTATGGAGGGAAGTTATATGACACATCCTTTTTTCTGTTTAGAACTATTCCTTCCACTCTGTACAGTCTAGTCCATCCTTTTGTACTTTCTGCCCTGTCAAGACAAAAACACTCTGGCATCGTTTTTTGATGCCTCTTATTTGTTTGACAGTAGCTGAGAGAACTTAAAGGGACATTTGAAAATGACAGGGAAGTGTGACTGGAATCCAGTATGTTTTCAGTCCACTCTTCTGAGGTCAAGATAACCAATTTCTTAATAAATGTGTATACCTGTGCACATATGTACACATATCCAAATACATGTGGTTCTCATAATAATAGAAACTTATTATTGTTTGTAATAACCTATGGCTATTCTGATATTCCTTACTATTTTCTTATTAAATAGCCTTAGGTGTCACCAACTAATAATGAGTAACTTAGATCATTAGTGATCACTAGATTACTTAAGACTACATGTGATCCATGGAGTTAGTAGACCAAAGATCATAAATATATAGGCATAACAATTGATAACCAGATTGCTTTCTGGGAAGGTGACTGTCATTCAAGCACCCATCTTCCCACCATCTGATAGCATGCTTATTCTGCGTTTTCCATGATCCCCCTGTAAGAAGAGCTGGAAGACCACACACACACTCACACACATGCTCATGCACATGCCTCTGTCATGCCCCGATCTGAGGGCTGCCCGCATGAGACAGCCACTTCCAGCTCCTGAGACAAAGTGATGGAGTCAGAAACCCTTCAGAGCCCATGTCTCACTGATGTAAAGCCCGACTGCTTCTGAGAAGTTTGTGTTCTAAGACTGTTGGTTACCATGGCAACAAAGGAACCAAGTTATGGTCAGAATTATGTAAAGAGACAGGATCTGTCCTTTAGTTACAGAGTATTCTGTGCACAAACAATAGTAGGCTGTCATCTGTTCATTAGAATCAGTCAGTTCTATGAGATCTTTCTCACATTTTCCCTCTCTTTCCATCCCCCAAGATTGCAGCTATGTCTGCTCCATGAAATACTTCAGTTTTCACTGTCATGCTAGGTCTCCAGATTACAGGGGGCAGATCTTGGAAGTTCTCAGCAATTCCTTGTAACTAGTCTCTTTTTATATATTAAAATCTGTTGTCTCTGTGTCTCCAGAGAATACGGGATACCTACTTATTTTGCTGCTTTGGAAAATAATGAAATATTTTAGATGGCCTTATGGTATATATCTGTAGTCTAGATCTTGGGAGACCAAGGCAAGGAGATTGTATGTAGTTCAGGCTGGCCTTGAACTTGCCTTAGTTTGTATCAGATTATAGCTCATTTAAAAAAAAAAACAAAACGACAGTTGAGTGCCTAACAGGTTCTAGACCCTATGTTCCGTCACTTTTAATAGGAACAAATTAATTAATTAATTATTTCATGTATGTGTGTGCCTGTGTATATACACCACATAGATGCCAGAGAGTCTTGAATTCTCTGTAACTAGAGTAATGATGGATGTGAGTCTCCTGATGTGGGTACTGGGACCCTAACAGGAGTCCTTGACAGGAGCAGCAAATGCTCTTAATTTCTGAGTCATCTCTCCAACCCTGTTTTTAACATGATTTTGTGTCATTTGTGAGACAGAAATAATGATATCTTCCTTGCAGGGATTTTGACATGATTGGTTATTGTATGTTGGATGTTCAGTACAGTTCATTTCCATTCCATAATTAAGCACACAAACCACTGCCCTGAATTGGCAGTACCCCCCAACAGATAAAGAAAAGACATCTTTTATTCCAATATTTCAGACATAGAATAATTTCCACCCCTAGTTATGTATCAAAATCATGTACATTTTAAATCATAATTGTGTTTATCTGAAGGTTGTTCCTGTAAAAGCAGGGTGGTTGAATGTTCGAGTTAGTGCCTGTTTCTGCCATGGCTCTAGACAACAGAAGCCTGAGTCTATGGAGATCACAGTAAAGGAACCCCCAGAGCTAGTGTCCTTACCCAGTCTAGCATGAGAGCCATGGTACAGAATGTTCTTTTTGAGTACATTCAAAAGACCCAGTAGGAATCCTTTGGCTAGGAGGGTGAGGTGAGTTCTACTTGCTGTGTTTAGAAGCTGTGGACACTGTTGATGGTTGACAGTTCTCCCTTTGACAACATTATAATTTGCGTGCAATGTTTTTAACAAAACAAACAAACAAACAAACAAAAAAGTTTGAAGGGATGATAGGATGTAGGCTTCCCAAGAAACAAGCTGAGGTCTCCTTAGGAGACTAGTAGCAAAATGCTTAAGATGCTTCAGATTTCCTTGTTCTAATCTTCAGGGCACTGTGAAGGAAAAGGTGGAGATGGGTGAGACAGGAGGGCAGACATGCTCAAAGTTGACTACTAAGAAGGAACCTAACCTAGAGGCAGAGCCAAGTTAACCTAACAGAAAGCGAGGCTCAGGGCCATGGGCGTAGCTCAGCGGTTGAGCTCTTGACTAGCCTACGTGAGACCCCCTGCAGTCTCCTGCACCACAGAAATGCAGTGGCAGAAAGTCTACCTAGAGTGTTTATTGTGTTCTGGAAAATCAGACAGATGGTAAAAAGAATCTGGAGTAAGTGAAGATGACTATGAATAGCAGCAGCAGGCAGCGTGAATGCCTGTTATAAATAATAATTCTTTTCAGAGTAGTTGGAAGGGGCCTGGAGCAAAGCAGACAGGGAGCAGACTGGGCTGGGATGAGTCGGGCAGGATGCAGTTGTCTGGCTCTGCCTGTCTCTGGCTGTTATCATCGGGCACCAGAGTCCTCCCTCACAGACCTGCTAGCCGCCAGAACACCCTTCTCTTGCTCTCCTCCCACATCGGCTGGCTCAGTGCTGTGCATGTCTACTTAGCCCATGAGCACAGATAAAGCTTTTTCTCCACTTCCTGAGGCTAAGTTCAGCCCTCGGAGGTTCCCCACCTCTGGCTGAGACCTCTGCAGCAGCATGTGTGAATAGATGCCGTTGTGTGTGTGTGCACAATGGCCTCCATTCATTTGAGGACCACTGTGCACATCCCTTGGAAGACAGCTTATCGCCCCAAGTGTATTCAAAGCCAGTTAATGAAAATGATATTGATTAGCAAATACTGTTGTAGATGAGTCTTTTAAAACTCTTGTGAAGTTAAAGACAAATGAAAAAAGTTTTGTTTTAAAAGCCTCCACAAAATGCTTAAGAAAAATTAGAAGCTACAGGATAGATGCTTTAAAGGGAAGTATTTTAAAACCCCTTAGAAGCAAATGTTTCAGGTATACAAGGTAATTGGTAGTTGCCTGGAGCTGGGACCCAGATGAGTTATTCCCTTCAAATTGGCAAGTTGAAACCATCTGTCAGTAAAAGGCAATTTGAGGCACAAGTGAGATCATTAACTTTTAATTTTCCAATAGTTCCAGAAAAGGAAGAAAGACTCGGGTGAAATTATTTTTGCTGTGTTTCAAGTAATTCATATAAAATGTGTAATTTCACATAATATAAATATAAAAGTATTAAGTTCTTTGCATTTCTCAGCCAAATCTTTGATGACTGTCATCTACTTTACATTTAGATCATACCTGGTTTGGGTCCTGTGCAGTCCTAAGCCCCATGCTCAGTAGCCACCATGCCTGGTGCCTCCGTTGAGCAACAGGGCTCAACAACCTTGGTTGTTGTTATATGGCTGCATGCATTGTCAGAGATAGGACTGTACACCTAAAAAGGACAACCTGTTGCTGCATATAGGTTATATTTTAATTAAAAATATTCTTGCAAGCCTGCACAATCAGATGTATGTTCCTTCTGTCAACATTTATTAAAGCTGTTTTCTTAAATTAGTCCGGGAAATGGGATTTTGCAAGTCGGTTGTCAAATTCAGAACAGGATAAGTTGGCACAAACTAACGATTTTCATGAACTTCAGGAGTATGTGTGGGTGGTGAGTGGGAGTGTGTGCACACTTCCTCATGTGTCTCTATCACCCATAGTTTATGTGCACCCTAATTTAGAGAGGACTAGTGGAGATTTAACTAGACAGTTCAGTTCTTAGGAAAAGGACTGGCATATGTTTGGCAAGATAGAGACAGGCACGGGTCGATTCAAGAAGACTCGGTGATATTTTTTTGTAGAGAGCTTGTCATTTTTGTTTTTTGTTTTATAGCCATTTCTTTATTTCCAGTAGTGCTAAAAGTCACTTAATTCTGACTTTCTTCTGCTCTTATTATATATTTTGGGGGTGATTATTTTGACTGACCGCTTGCAGGTACATGGGGGTGGAGAAACATGGAGCTCTTGAGCATAGAACTCTCGATTAAGAATAAATAGCTTTTATAGCTAAAGCCGGGATGGTTTAAAGGTGGAACATGTTACACCACTTATAAGTAACATCCACAATTTGATAGATATCTGAATGACCTCCCTTGTGTCTTGAGATCCCATGCCTCCATTTTGCTGAAGCTTGTAGAAACTGACAGTTCCAAAATGACTTAAGTAGAGGAAAATAGACTAGAACATACCTTCAATATGGTCTCACAGTATCTGTGCTGAACGTAAAGTTCAGTAGCCTTGGAATTTAATTCCATAAGTTTAAACCAGGGAAAACTCTTATGTGGTAAGAAAATTATCCCAGAGTCTTCACAGATAAATCTAGGGTAGACACAAAGTGCGAAGTGGTTGTGTTTAAGACTCACAACCCACAGGATATGTTTAAGAAGCGGGCCACAAGCCAGAGCAGAATTACCCCTTTGTCTTAGTTTATCCTAGGGTTCTCATAAACCCAGAGACAGTTGATTTGACCCATGGTTAATTATCAAGATGAATTTCATCTACAGCCATCACACTGAGTAATGAAAGTGAGAATTCTTGTGCCCCATCCCTAGGAATTACTGCTTGAAGAGACTAGCAACTGAACCTTCCAGGTAATTGTGTGTATGAGACAGGTGTACTCTG